CGAGTAGCTGGGATTACAGGCACACACCACCATTCCTGGTGATTTTTTTGTTTTTAGTAGACACGGGGTTTCACCGCGTTGGCCAAGCTGGTCTCGAACTCCTGCCTCAGGTGATCCTCAGCCTCCCTAAGTGCTGGGACTACACGTGAGCCACCATGCCCGGCCTTTTCCCAAATAATGAATTCAGGGTCCCCCATGGGCACCATGCACATCAGGGCTGGGTGTAGGACCGTCCAGGCACTGCAGCGTCCCAGGTCTCCACCCTCCATGCCAGGAGCACCCCAAGTCGTGAAAACCACAATTTCCCCAGCCACTGCCCAGGGTCCCCTGGGGGCAGGGCCACCCCCAGAGGAGAATCACTGCCCCAAGGGAAGGGATGGGTAGGACACAGAAATACAATGGGGGTACAGGCCAGGTGTGGTGGCTCATGCCTATAATCCCAGCACTTTGGGAGGCCAAGGTGGCTGGATCGTGTGAGGTCAGGAGTTCAAGACCAGCCTGGCCAACATGGTGAAACCACGTCTCTACTAAGAATGCAAAAAATTAGCTGGACATGGTGGTGCGCGCCTGTAATCCCAGCTACTCGGGAGGCTGAGGCAGGAGAATTGCCTGAACCCGGGAGGTGGGCATTCCAGTGAGCCAAGATTGTGCCACTTCACTCCAGCCAGAGTGACAGTGCGAGACTCCATCCCCAAAAAAATTATAAAAAATAAAAAATATGCTGGGCGGGTGGCTTGTGCCTGTGGTCCCAGCTACTCGGGAGGCTGAAGTGGGAGGATCGCTTGAGCCCAGGAGTTCTGGGCTGTAGTGCGCTGTGCCAATCGGGTGTCTGCACTAAGTTCGGCATCAATATGGTGACCTCCTGGGAGCCGGGGACAACCAGGTTGCCTAAGGAGGGGTGAGTCGGCCCAGGTTGGAAACGGAGCAGGTCAAAACTCCCGTGCTGATCAGTAGTGGGATTGGGCCTGTGAATAGCCACTGCACTCCAGCCTGGGCAGCATAGCGAGACCCCGTCTCTAAAAAATAAATAAGTAAAAAAACAAAAATGATGGGGGGTACAGGGGTCCTGCCTGGGCCCCCTAAAGAGGGCCGGACCTCCTCTCCTGAGGATCAGCCCTGAGGGCTGGTATGGGACAGACCTGTGGGGTGGGGTGATGTGGAGTCCCAGGCGGTCCCCTCCTTCCTGCCATTGCCAGGCCCCGCGCACACTGAGGGGATGCAAGGGACAGGCTGGGGCTGTTCTCTAGCCCCCCTCATCGTTCATGGAGTCCGTATTTGCAGATTCGCCTGCTTGATGATGTTTATTTGTGAACCCCAGATCAACGCCTGGGGCACTTTCCCTGTCATCCTGGGACATGCGCAGAGGGATAGAAATTAGAATCGTGGCCAGGCGCGGTGGCTCACACCTGTTATCCCGGCACTTTGGGAGGCTGAGGCAGGCAGATCACTTAAGGTCAGGTGTTCGAGACCAGCCTGGCCAACATAGAGAAACCCCGTTTCTACTAAAAATACAAAAATTAGCCGGCAGTGGCGGCCCATGCCTATAATCGCGGCTACTCGGGAGGCTGAGGCAGGAGAATTGCTTGAACCCAGGAGGCGGAGGTTGCAGTCAGCCGAGATCGCGCCATTGCACTCCAGCCTGGGTAACGAGAGCGAAACTCCGTCTCAAAAAAAAAAAAAAGAAAAAGGAAGGAAGGAAGGAAAGAAAAAGAGAGAGAAAGAGAGAAAGGAAGAAAACTATATAACTTAATTTTACAAAATCTGAAAATCACATAAGGAAAGGAACATCCACCACCCCGGAGGTCTGTCCTTTCCTCACACACCCTCTTCTTTTTAAAAGTTGAGACTCTTTACATGGTTTGATCCTCTGCCTTTAGACGTCTCTGCTGGCCAGGTGCGGTGGCACACACCTGTCATTTCAGCACTCTGGGAGGCCAAGGTGGGAGAGTCGCTTGAGCCCAGGACTTTGAGACCAGCCTGGGCAACATGGCAAAACCTCCTCTCTACAAGAAGAAAGTTAGCTGGGTGTGGTATTGCACACCTGTGGTCTCAGCTACTCGGGAGGCTGAGGAGAGGGCATCACTTGAGCCCGGGAGGTTGGGGCTGCAGTGAGCTGTGATCACACCAGTGCAGTGCAGCAGCCTGGGTGACAGACCCTGTCTGAGAGAGACCGTGCCCATCGATGGCAAGGGTGATGAAAATTATATAGCGTGCTGATGAAAAACGATTATTTCCAGCCACCTAAAAAGCAAGCCTGAGAGAGAAGCGCACAGAGTCACCGCAACAGAACGAGGAGCTGTGGTTTCCTAGTCAAGGGCCATGGCCTGGGGCGGGGTCGGAGTCCTGTGGGTTCTGCGGCTGACCCGGGGGTGCAGGTGAGGTGGCTCCGGCATCTCGGCCACTGTCCTGATTCTGTGGATCAGGAGCTGAGGTCACACATCGCCCTTACTCGCAGTTTGTGACGAGTCAGAAGTCTAATTTCCCTTCTCTGCGGAGGCGCGGTGCTACGAGCCCTTCGCCGACCCGGCCGACCGGGGCCTCTCTGAGTCTCCTTTGGGCAGGAGGGAGGAAATCCTGACGTCGCTCGTTTCCTGAGTGTGTGCCTGTTCACTAGCGGGGCCCTGCTTTAGAGGCAGGACTCGCTCCTGCCCGTGTGTGTGTCTATGTGCATGTCTGTGTGCACGCATATGTGTGTGCAAGTGTGCCTGTGCGTGTGCACATGTCTGTACATGCGTGCGCATCTGTGCACGTGAATATGTGCACGTGTGTCTGCATGCCTGCGTGTGTGCATGTTTGTGTCTGCACATGTGCATGTATGTGAATGTGTGTGCGTGTGTGCACGCCTGTGTGCATGTGTCTGTGTGTGAATGTGTGCGCGTGTCTGTGCATGTCAGTGTGTGCATGTTTGTGTCTGCACATGTGCATGTATGTGAATGTGTGTGCATGTGTGTGCGTGTGTGCACGCCTGTGTGCATGTCTGTGAATGTGTGCACGTGTCTGTGTGCATGTGTCAGTGTGTGCATGTTTGTGTGCCTGTGTCCACATGCGTGTGGGTGTGAATGTGTGTACCCATGTATGTGTGTGTGTGCGCGTGTCCGTGCACATGTGAATGTGTGTACACGTCGGTGTGCATGCGGATGTGTGCACATGTGTCTGTGTGTGTATGTGCATCTGTGTCTAGAGTTGGAAGGGGAGGCAGTGCCCTCGCTGTCTGTAGGTGACTAAGAGGTCAAGGCTCTCACACGGAGTGATTCCGCCCCCGCAGATGACCCTGGGCGGTGTCTAGGGACATTGTGGCCATCCCATCTGGGGGTGGTCCTGGCATGGAGCAGACAGAGGCCAGGCATGCTGCTCAGCACCCTGCAGAGCCCAGGATGGCCCCGCCCCAGAGAACCATCTGGCACTGGGGTCCCTGATGCTGGGTGCGGGGAGAGACCCTGGCTTAAGAGAACGTGTTTGTGCAGCCACCGCCGACCTCAGCGTCCTTGGCCTCCAACACAGCCCCTGGGGCGCAGGGCCGCTGAGAAAGTGTGATGTGTGTGTGGCCCCGACTCACTCCAGCCCAGGAGCATCGGCCGTGTGGCTCTTCTTTGTGTCAGTGGAAAAAACCCATTGGTTTGTGGAAACAGCAAAAGTTTGTGAAGGAAGAGGGGCTGGGCTGGCTTCGGCGACCACAGGGGACCTTCGGGCAGGAGGGAAACAGCCTCGGCCACGTGAACCCGGCCCGGCCCAGCCTCGAGCAGCTCAGGAAGCTGGGCCTGGGTTGGGGCCAGGGCATCTGCTGACCTCCCCGGCAAGCCCACTGCAGGGCGAGCCCCGACGCTGGACAGGGCGAGACAGAGTCTCAGTGTGTCATCCCGGCTGGAGTGCAGTGGCGTGATCTTGGCTCACTGCAGTCTCTGCCTCCCAGGTTCAAGTGATTCTCCTGCCTCAGCCCCCCGGATAGCTGGGATTACAAGCGTGAGCCACCTCGCCCGGCCGGCTCCTGGCTTCTCAATGTGGGGCCGGGGGCTCAGCAGCAGAGCAGGAGTGGCCTAACCAGAGGCGCAGAACCAGGCGTCTGGCCTCGCTGTGTGCAAGTCCCGGCTCCGTGACCTCGGCCAGTGCAGACGCTCAGCAAGGCAGGAGCCTCCGCCTGCCTCGGGCCTCCTTGTCCACAAAATAGTAGGCTGTGTTGGAGCTGGAGGGGGCAGATGGCTGCCTGCCTCGCCCTCCAGGCCTTGGTGGGAGTCATCAGGGTGCTCCCCATGACCTCCTCACAATCCGTGCCCTCTGCAGCAGTGACGGATGTGGCGCCTGGCTCGATCCTGGGTCCGGCTTGGAGCAGAGGATTCCGTTCTCTGGAAAACAGCAGCTCCACAGGGCCCAGGCCCACCTCACAGCCCGGAGCCCACCCCACCCCCAAGACCCATCACAGGCCCAGGCCCATGGAGCCGTCCTTCCCTTCCCATTGACCTCCTGGCCCCGGCGGGACACGTCAGACCCGCAGCCCTCCTGTCCCCAGTGTACCTGTCACTTCCGCCATTCGGGGTTAATTGGTTTGCCCCCCAGTTTATGTTTTCCACCCGTCCCTTTGCCTGGCACGTGGCTTCCATGAAACTAGAAATCAGAGATGGAAAAACACCCACGTATCCCACGGGAAGGCTCCGCCCCGGGGGTATTTTGTGTTTCTTGCCACTGGTGTGTCTGACGGACTGGACTTTGATGGTGGGTTGGGGCCCCCTTGTTCTGAATGGATTAACACGAGTTTCTAGAAGATAATCTGCCCGGTTTTCCTGCAAGAGAAACTTCCGTGTGTGTATCAGTGGTAAAGAATAAGGCCCATCCTGCCCCCGCTTCCTCCGGAGGGCACGGGCATTGGGAGCTCCCATGCTGCATTTTTTGGTGCCAGCAGCTTGGGTCTCCAGGAACAGCCGGAGGCAGCTCTGTGAGTTCCTTCTAAGTAAAAATATGTCACCACGCTTTTCTCTCTCTCTCTCTCTCTCTCCTTTTTTAAACAGGGCGTGTGCAGCACGCGGTGATTCCCGGGGAAACTGAAAAAGGTATGTGGCATTTTCTCTTACCTCACGGGCTTGGAATCTCTTGTTTTTTAGAAAAGGGAACAAACAAGCCTCAGTCTTTCATGTGCGCCTGACACGTCGGGGGGCTGAGTCATCCCATAAAAGGGCTCCGGGCTCAGAGCCAGGAAACCTGAGTTCAAATCCCAGCTCCCCTTCCAGCAGCCCTGCCCTGTTTGGGGGGGTTCCCGTCAGCTGTCTGCAGTGCAGATGACGTTCTCCGTTCTGCAGGAAGGCTGCAAGGATTACACACACACGGAGGTAGATAGCGAAATGCAAAAGCAGCCGGCGCGGTGGCTCACGCCTGTAAGCCCAGGCAGGCGGGTCACCTGAGGTCGGGCATTTGAGACCAGCGTGGCCAACAGGGCGAAACCCCATCTCTACTAAAAATACAAAAACTAGCCGGGTGTGGTGGCACACGCCTGTAATCCCAGCTTCTCAGGAGGCTGAGGCAGGAGAATCGCTTGAACCCGGGAGGCGGAGGTTGCAGTGAGCCAAGATCGCGCCATTGCACTCCAGCCTGGGAGATAGAGCGTGTCTCAAAACAAAAAACATTATATATATTTTATATATACATACACATACATATGTGTGCATAAAATATATATAATATAGGCTGTAATCCCAGTACTTCGGGAGGCCGAGGCGGGCGGATCACCTGAGGTCAGGAGTTCAAGACCAGCCTGGCCAACATGGTGAAACCCCATCTCTTTTTTTTTTAATAAAAATAAAAAGAATTTTAAAATATAGATATATACATATATTTTACATGTGTACAAGTCCTGGTTCCGTGACCTCGGCCAGTGTAGACACTCAGCAAGGCAGGAGCCTCTGCCTGCCTCAGGCCTCTGTGTCCACAAAATAGGAGGCTGTGTTGGAGCTGGAGGGGGCAGTGTGTATAAAATGTATGTATATATATTATATATTTTATACACACACACACGTATGTATACACAGTGGCGCGCGCCTGTAGTCCCAGCTACTCAGGAGGCCGAGGCAAGAGGATTGCTTGAGCCCAGGAGTTTGAGGCTGCAGTGAGCGATAATTGCACCACTGCGCTCCAGCCTAGGTGACAGAGCAAGGAAAGCTGGTCTCTGAAAATATTTATACAGCCGGGTGCAGGGACTCACGCCTGTAATCCCAGCACTTTGGGAGGCCGAGGCGGGTGGATCACGAGGTCAAGAGATCGAGACCATCCTGGTCAACATGGTGAAACCCCGTCTCTACTAAAAATACGAAAAATCAGCTGGGCATGGTGGCACGTGCCTGTAATCCCAGCTACTCGGGAGACTGAGGCAGGCGAATTGCCTGAACCCAGGAGGCGGAGGTTGCGGTGAGCCGAGATCGCGCCATTGCACTCCAGCCTGGGTAACAAGAGTGAAACTCCGTCTCAAAAAAACTAATTAATTAATTAATTAAAATATATGTATATATATTATATATATTTTATACACACACACACGTATGTATACACAGTGGCGCGCGCCTGTAGTCCCAGCTACTCAGGAGGCCGAGGCAAGAGGATTGCTTGAGCCCAGGAGTTTGAGGCTGCAGGGAGCGATAATTGCACCACTGCGCTCCAGCCTGGGTGACAGAGCAAGGAAAGCTGGTCTCTGAAAATATATATACATATGTATGTGTGTGTGTGTGTGTGTGTGTGTGCCCAGTGTGGTGGCACATGCCTGTGATCCTAGTGTTTTGGGAGGCTGAGGCAGAAGGATCACCTGAGCCCAGGAGGTGGAGGCTGCAGTGAGCTGTGATCGCACCTCTGCACTCCAGGCTGGGCAGAGTGAGACCAGGCCTCTAAAATAAAGCAAGAATATATATATAAACGCTGAGCAGCATCCTGGCGTCTGAATCAGCATCTGAGAGACAGCAGTGGGACCCGAAACCACAGCCCGTCTGTTTCACTCCCGTTTTTCTGGGAATCTGTGCATTTCACGTAGGTGACCTCACTGGGCGTCCTACCTGTTCTCTGCCCGTGCTTCTTATTCCCAGAGGTTGGTAGGAACGTCCCCCTTTCGTTTCTGCTTGGATTATTTGCATCTTACTTCCTTTTTTTTTTTGGTTTTGCTTTTGGTCAGCCCGGCTAAGAGTTTGTCAATCTCACAGCTCTTTTCAAAGAACCAGCTTTTGGTTTCGTGGATTCAACAGTTTTTCTAGTCTCGTTATCACCGCTGGGATCTTTACAATTTCCTTCCTCCTGCTGGCCTGGGGGCTGCCTTCCTTCTAACTGTGCTGGTTCCTTGAGGCACGGGGTCCTCAAAGTTTTGGCAGCAGGGAGTGGTTTTGTGGAAGACGGCTTTTCCCCGGGGGGGAGGCGGGCGTGGGGCAGTGGGGAGGACGGTTTGGGGATGATTCCAGCGCGTAACTTTCATTAGCACTTTATTTCTGTTATTATTACGTTGTAATGTCTGATAAAATGATTCCACAGCTCACCCTAATGTGGGATCGGTGGGAGCCGGGAGCTGGTTTCCCACCACCAGGCGGTACCTGGGCCGGGTGCGATGGCTCATGTAATCCCAGCACTTTGGGAGTTTGAGGCGAGCGGATCACGAGGTCAGGAGTTCGAGACCAGCCTGACCAACATGATGAAACCCCGTCTCTACTAAAAAATATAAAAGCTGGCCAGGCATGGTAGTGAGTGCCTGTAGTTCCAGCTACTTGGGAGGCTGAGTCGGGAGAATCGCCTGAACCCGGGAGGTGGAGGTTGCAGTGAGCTGGGATTGTGCCACTGCACTCCAGCTTGGGCAGCAGAGTGAGACTCCACTTCAAAAAGAAAAAATAATATAGAAGAACCTAGGTTTACTCGCCCACCTCTCACCCGCTGCTGTCCAGCCCGGTTCCTAACAGGCCACAGACCGGAGGTACGGGCGTACGGCCCAGGGCTTTCAGACCCCTGCCTTCCGGTGTCAGGCGAGGTTGTGGAGTCGAGATCTTTGTCCCTTTTCCCTGCAGGTGATCACAGGCCCGTCTGTTTCACTCCTGTTTTTCTGGGAATCTGTGCGTTTCACGTAGCGCTGCTCTCAGCCTGCGCCGTATCCCACACGTCGTGGTTAGGTTGCGTTTCTGCCGTCTTTCGTGTCAGGGTAATTTCTGATTTCCCTCGTGGTTCCGTCCTGGGCCCGTTGGCAGTTGAAGAGTATCGAAGTGTCCACATATCCCATGATCTACGCGGGAAGGAAAGCGGTCAGAAAAAGCAACGCTCGTGGCCGGGCGCGGTGGCTCACACCTGCAATCCCAGCACTTTGGGAGGCCGAGGCGGATCACCTGAGGTCGGGGGTTCGAGACCAGCCTGGCCAACACAGTGAAATTCGTCCCTACTAAAAATGCAAAATTAGCCTGGCGTGGTGGCTCACGCTTCTAATCTCAGCTTCTCGGGGCTGAGGCAGGAAAATTGCCTGAACCCGGGAGGCGGAGGTTGCGGTGAGCCGAGATCACGCCACTGCACTCCAGCCTGGGTGACAAGAGCAAAACTCCGTCTAAAAAAAAAAAAAAAAAAAAAAAAGGAGGAGGAGGAAGAAGAAGAAAGAAAGAAAGAAATAAAGCAATTTCAGTTGGGAATGGGCTTCTAGCCCCTTATCTCGGGACCCTTTAGGGGCTTGATGGTGAGGTGGAGACAGGGCTGGTTTGGGGTGGGGACTTTACCCTGGATTCTAGAACCAACAATCTGATGGCAGCGTCCCCTGCATGGGGCCAGTGGCGGGTGCCTGCAGTCCCAGCCACTCAGGAGGGTGAGGCAAGAGAACTGCTTGAGCCCAGGAGTTCAAGGCTGTGGTGAGCTGTGATCGCATCACTGCACTCCAGCCTGGGGGACAGAGCAAGACCCTGTCCCTTAAAAATATATAAATAAATAGGCTGGGTGCGGTAGTTCACGCCTATAATCCCAGCACTTCGGTGGGGCCGAGGTAGGTGGACCACCTGAGGTCAGGAGTTCAAGACCAGCCTGGCCAACATGGCAAAACCCCCATCTCTACTAAATACGAAAAAGTTAACTGAGCGTGGTGGCACGTGCCTGTAGTCCCAGCTACTCGGGAGGCTGAGGCAGGAGAATCACTTGAGACCAGGAGGCAGAGGCTGCCGTGAGCCAAGATCTTGCCTGGGGTCCAGAGCGAGGCTCAGTGTCAAATCTATAGATTTATTTATAAATCTATATATTTGTTTATATTTATATTTCTTTAAAAATATGGTTATATATTTATAAAAATATGTTTATACATTTGTTATTTATAAATCCATTATTTGTAAATATATAGATTTATAAATATATAAAAATAAATATATGTATAAATTCATCAATATTATAAAAGTGATTTTTAGAAATATTTATAGGAAATACATGGGTTTGTTTATATTTACATGTAAGCAGTGAAAGGTTCCATGAGAACGTGACCGAGCACACGGCCGGGCTTTTCGGAGTCCCTCAATTTTGCCCCCAAGGTGAGCGCCTCATGGCCTCGCTCTAGTCTGGACCCCAAACACCTGACACTCAGGACGATGACGAAGAGAGTGACGACTGCTGAGGGGTGGCCACGTGCCCGTGGCGTCTCAAGCCACCCTTTCACGTCCACCTCCATGAACGAAGCAGGGGACCCTGCCGTCCCTCCCGTTTTCCTGACCGGGAGACCAGAGCTCCTTCGCTGGAGGTCAGTCGACCGGCGTGAGGTCCCTGGAGCCCACCCTGAGCCCAGTTCCCTGGGACACGCAGGTGCTGGCTGGATGGCAGGTGGCATAGAGCTGCCCGGGCTGGGCTCCGGTGTCTCCGGGCGGAAGGCTCAGGCTGCCAGCCACGTGGCCACGTGCCGGGGGATTACGTCCCTATGCGGCAGCATCTGCTGGGAGGAATGACAAGAGCATCCAGTGGTGACATCAGGCAGCTCTCGTGGGGCCCTGGCTAAGCCCGCTGGCCCTGTTCCCAGCCGCCCGGCCATCCCCACCTCGGACCCCTCCCGAGTCCTCGGCGTCCCCCCACTCAGTGACTCAGC